GTACCAAATATGTAAATGATATTATAATATCTTATGTATAAATTTTATTTATATACAATTGTGATTAGACGGGGAAAAAAACACGAATAATTTGATGAGATAATTAGCTCGCTGAACGGAAAATAATCTACTGGAAGTTTTAATCTGTGACGTAGGAATCAACAATTTTTTAAAACACACTTTAATTCGGTAAGGTTTACACTTAATTTTTATATGGTTATATTTCTAAAATGAAATGAGTCTCAGCCCAAAGACGAAGCGTCCCAGGGCCCATGTGTTTGTTGCAAAATTTTGTTCCTTTGGTATTTATACAAAGCCGTCATTTGGCGATGACGTGTCCTGGAGTCCTGAAGTCATTGGCGCTGCATTGTGTTGCAGGTGTGGTTCCAGAACCGACGAGCCAAATGGCGTAAGAAGGAGCACACGAAGAAAGGACCTGGACGCCCGGCACACAACGCTCACCCTCAGACGTGCAGCGGGGAGCCTATCCCGGAGGAGGAGCTTCTGCGTAAAGAGCGGGAACGCCGCGAGAAAAAGCTCACCAAGTCACTGGAGCGACAGCAGCGCAAACTGGCGGCGAAAGGAATCGCTGTCGACATCGCCACCTTGCGGCGAGACTGGGAAGCTAAGCGGGAAATGACGTCATCGTCAGGCGCTACCAGAGGCGTCGGTCACGTGTCCGCTGACAGCAGCGTTACCACCGGAAGCCCGGAAAGTCAGCGTCGTCAAACTAACAACGACGATGATGATGATGATGATACAGATATTGACGTGGAAGATGATTCGACAATGGACAAAAATATTTACCACGAATCAGAAACGCGATATCAAGACGAAGTTAATATCACATCGGATGAGGAATCGAATTATATCGCTATAAATTCCACGCCATCAGCAATAGACGCCAATGACAAACAAAGGATAGCAACTCTACCGGGATGTGACGCAATTACTTATCGTGACGACTCCAAGCGGATGGCACAGGAACTAACATCTGAAGGAAGAAAATCGCCAAATGAAACGTCGAGACCTTCCACGACGAAAAGATCAAACCCGTTCAGCATAGAAAGTCTTCTTTCTCATGCGGAAGGGTACACGGACTAATTTTTGTGTCGGATATGAAAATATTTTATAGCAACTTTTATAAAACGTGTTCTAATTTCTTCAGTTCTATTTCACAAGACCCACGCTTCTGAACAAAAACGCAAAACTGATTGGAAAATAAGTTCCGGGAACGGCTTAATCCTGACCCACGCTTCTGAACAAAAACGCAAACTGGTTGGAGAATAAGTTCCGGGAACGGCTTAATCCCGCTTACCGTTTGTTAGAAAATATATCAAAAGATGTCCAGTGGACACGAATTTAAAATTTTACGTCTCACTTAACAACTCGTCAACTTTTAACGGGAGTTGAACTCCTCAAAGTCTGCGCAGAATAGGTTTAGGATAATCGTCCCCGGGGCTATTAACGAGACAGACTATTTATGTTTAGAACTAAGGAGTGCAAAGAATCCTGAATGAAGCCAGAATCAGCCAAAGGACTCGGTTTAAACAAAGAGTCCTATTAGGTGCGTACTATCTCTTGTGTAGGTCCTTAAAAAAGGCTATCTGTTTTAACGACTATTATTTAGTATCGATTAATATTTATCGAAGGAGTAACGTTAAAAGCAAAAATGTCGTCTTCATCAAAATCTTCCGATGATTATTACGTCTTTAAAAAACTTTGAAATACGATGGAGATTTCGCGAGAATTTTTGGGCACTTGAAATGCTCCTGTAAATGCGGACCAAAAGTTTGTTCACAGCGGATGATGAAGGCCACATCTCAGCAAGGGCAGGGCATGGGCGCGAGGAAGGTGTAGCATGTACCATGTCCTCGGCAACAGTCCCGATTATCCGACATAATCTTGACAGACGGATGTTCGGATAATCGAAAATATCAGTTAATACAGAAGATTAGTGAAAAAGACGAGGGTAGGCCTATATACCAAGTAAATTCGTAGCCAGAAGAAAGGTCATTACGGTGTCAAATGACGAAACGTCGGATAACCGGGGCTCTGTATTTTAATCAAGGTGTAACAAGGGTAAGTTTCCCGTACCATTCGAAGGGCTACGCGCGGTCGACGTCAAACAAGATTCCAGGTTGCCTTCAGCCATCAAGGTCAAGTTGTCTTCGGTTCTGTGCCGCCGATGGACTTCCGACGGCGTCACAGCATAGGCAGAAGGCGACGCCATGCGTCCTGCCCTAGGCCTCACAGGGACCTGACCTTCCAGTGCGAACAAACCACAAGAAATTGAAGATGCCGCGAAAATGAAGGGAATGAAATAGGAAATTATATTTTTACGCCGAAATTTAACACAATCTTCATAGTAGTTGAGCAAAATGTCTTGAACAGAATAGCTTGAGTTCTAACGCGTGAAATATGGTATTATAACTACTCAGAAATCTAATCCTTGTAGAATATTTTTTTAATTATCGTTCTATATTTCCTTGCCTTTAAAAACTTTGGTTCCCATAATTTCACCAATGGGTGTACAGAAATTTATACAAAATATCCGCTTACGTCTAACGCCACAACCTTGAATCTGTTTCTCGCTGTAACTTTCATCTTACTTCTTCAAAACCCAAATTAAATAGATTTTTATCAATTATGTACTCAAAGTTATTCAACATCCTACTCTTAAGGTTGACTGCAAAAACACACTAAATTATCTGAGGAAAACTATTGTGGATTTCCACCAAACATATCACCGACTGATTAGATATTATGCATTTGTCAGACAGTGGACAAAATGCAGTGTACAATGGGACTCTAGGTCATTATATATATATTTACGAGTGTCAAGGAAGACTATTTTTCAGCGAGGAGAAACACCAAATACTACAAAACATTCTCATTGAATTCATTGTAAGTTTCCTCATAGAACGTGACGAGCTAATTAAAATGTGTTTAAAATAACGTATAATAAAGTCCGTTTAGAGAGCATTTATCTGACGAATTTTCCATCATGAATGTTTTGAAACAAGGAGATGCTATATCAGGACCGATCTTCAGGGCTGGAAAAGATGCTAAATCCAGAAGATCTGTTAACGGCTAGTGGGAGAATCGATCTTGAAGTAGGAGCAGAGTGAACTGACGTTCATGCATTGGGAAATGTTGAACCAGTTTCACTCAACCGTCCGATACCATCAAACATGTCAAAACAACTGAGTAAGAGTGTAAATAAAATTTTAGTTGGAAACGCTGAATGAAAGAGTCACTTGAGAGACATAGTGGTGAATGGAAGGATAACATGAAATTTATGTTGAACAAATACGGTGGTCTAGCGGTTAGAAAGCTGGCCTTGTAATCCTGGGGTCCCGGGTTCGATTTCCTGCGGTGCCCGAATTTATAACTTGTGTTGGGCGAGGCCGTGGTCTAGGCAACACGGAGATTTTCTCCGTGGCATCCCAACAATTACTCCCTTCACACACAGAAGAAGGCAATGGCAAACCACTTCTGGATCATCTGCCAAGAACGTATATGAACAGGTCCCAGTCCGAGAAAAGGATGGAAGGATCCTGTTCATGTGGACCTGTCGTCAGACAGAACACTAATAATAATAAAAAAAAGTAAGCGAAAGGCGATGTTACACTGAAATGGTAGTAGAAAGCCCGCGGCTGTGGACATTAGGTCAGGCCTGCGAGTGACGTCATGCCGATCGGACAGGATATTTGGGAACGAGTAACGAACCAAAACTGTATTGACCAAGAAACTGGTGAGAAAATTCAATTCGATGCAAATTTGCAACCTTATACTTTCGCCAAACCACGAGAGACGTTTTCACCTAAGTTCAAATCTGTCTTCAGCATAAAAAAACAACCACATCTTTAATACAAATATTACATTATTAATTAGTCTTTTCAGAGAGCTGCCCAGAAATTGAGACCGTTCACCCCCATTTTTGTGACACTTAATCTCTTTCCAAAGCATATCATTCCACGTTACTAATTAGCCCTTTCTAGGGCATTGATAACTACGTACACCACTTATTTTCTAAGTTTATAGCTCTGAATGTCTCTCGCAGGAATTCTGGTTTGTTTAGTTCTCACAATCAAGCCCGAAACGTCGCAAACGATCATTAAGTAAATCCTGTTTAAATTCGTAGTAATTATATTAAATAAGATCCGAGGTGAGTCCGAAGATGACTTGTCTTCCGGATTGTTGCGTCGTGCAGTCTGGTAGACGTTTACCGACGTTTCAGAGGTCCTTGCTGCCTCAAAAATCATTAACGTCGTCATCACCATCAAAAAGGACATCTGAAATGTTGGTAAACGTCTACCAGGGTACGCGGCGCTACAACTGATAAGATAGAAGTCTTAGTGACGTCATGATTTCTTGATGGTAAAACCGGTGTTTTAAAATATTATTTAAATTTATGAAAGTCGATTCAGCAATTTCAAATATCGTACGTGCTAGAAGACGGACGAATGCAATCCCCTTAACCCTAAATGCGTTCACCCTGTGTGCAAAGTCAGCGTTAATATCTACTGTCGAAGATTCTCATGAACGACAACAGACTTTTGAAACACCCGTTGATGAAAATGTGGGCCTTGCGTAATGAAGCTTTTAATAGACAGCGACGAGCTTTTTCCCGAAGTTGTCTCACATACAAGTCCAATTATTTATAAGTAAAACCATAAACTATTCTGAAACTACGTATCACGTGTGTATAACTTTTCTTGTCATTGAAAGGGTAACGGATAGGGAAATTTATGTTCACAGGTTGGTACCCTTAGAATGTAACTGGAAAACAAAAATTCTGGCTATTATTTGGGAAAAATATTGGCTGGTGTGTAAACTTATGCGGTATTATCTGGAGTTATTTGATTTTGGTCCTGTGAAAACATAATTTTTTGGTTTTTTGGCAATCACTATGCTTAATTACAGATCCATCCTATCACATGGGATGTGGCCCTGATATGACGTCTTTACAGTATTTCGCATTCCACAACACTTTCATGAAAAACCCAGCTCCATATAAATTTTATCGGAATTTCTTCAATAAACTCACTACAAGGCAAGTTACATTTTAATTTTATTTAAAATTAATAGACAAACCGAAATTGTCGATAAAGGTTTTACCATAATGATAGACTAAACAACACTGATCATATTTAAGAATACAAATAGGTTTTCCAATCCTTTTATTAGTCTGTATGCAGTTCAATAATTTATTTAAAAGCGAAACCAACTCTCAGAAATATTTATCCAGACGTTAATGGCGGTCAAAATTTCGGGCGATAGGCAGAAATATTGCAGAGCAACGAGAGAGATTCAAACAGGATTCAGTAGCTGTGGGCCTACATAAGAATTTCGCAACAAATTTCAGTCATACGACTGGCCCTAAGGATTTCTAGGGATTGATTCAAAAATTACTTTATCGATTTGCTTCGGTTACTAAGTTGACCATATGAGGTTAAGAATGAAATAAAACGTTCATGGCGTGGTTCTTAATTAAATTATTAAATGACACTTATAATATTAAATTAATTATGATCCTGGGATGTAATGACGTTGAAGTTGTGGATCATAATTCATCATAAATCAGAATATCACAATCGATAAAAATGCTACAATATACATGCCCGTACGTAATGTGATAAGGAAACAAATATATGAATAAATCATAAAATTACGTAATTATGCTTCAGAATTTGTAATTTATACCGTAAAATTTCTTCTAATTGTTCCATAATCACCTGATGCTTCAGTTTACTGAATTTTCTATTAAATGAATTGCAAGATAAAATATACGTTTATGTACATATCAATAAATACTACATCAACATAACTTTGTAATCAATCATGTTGCTGCTTTTCTAACTCATAATGACACTGTCAAATGTACAGTGTTATAATTGCAGCATCGGAATATTGTAATATTATATCATCAGATTCTTTCGTTTTCAATCCAGCTGTTGTAAATACGAACACATATAAATTATTGGATAATAATTAATCCATTTTTTAAAATAAAATAATATCATACAATAAAAGTTTATTATCTATGTTATAAATACACAGTATTATAGCAAATATATTATTTTACATTGGAATATATT